TAGATCTTCAAATCATCTCTGAATTGGTGCTGACACTGTCCTTCCTTCTGAAGGGGGGCTACTTTTGTTCCCCATGGTCCCTGTGTGTTGTAAAGTAGCCACTGCTTCAGTGATAGACTACGATATCAATACAAAATTAGCTATCTAAATGTGAGATTGTAGTTCATCACAGGAGAGAGCCAGAACAGCAGACAAGGCTAAAACATGACGTTCTGGCCAGGCTAGAATCCTTTCTATGTCTTTTGCTGCAACCAGACTTCTAGTTCCTCCCCGGTAGCTGATATCCAAGGCATCACCGAGGATTAGTTGCACAAAAACTGAGCCATACTCGGATTCGAAGAGATTATAGCTGGCTTAACAACAGCTTTTTTGTTTGCCAGTGTCCATTGCTTGCCAGTGTTCCTCCTCAATACGAAAGCATAACCCAATTGTGCGTGAATAACTGCCAATCCTGTGTCCTTTAATGAACAATAAAGAAATGCATGTTGTTGTAGTGCACTGGGGTGTATTGACAGCTAGTGCTGAAATGAAGTGCTGACAAGAGCAGAAGTGCTTGGAGGTGGGCTGATGAGGACAGAGCTCATTGCAAAATTGCACATTGGTGTGGGTGAGCGGAAAAATAGGCATTCATGCACAGTAGACAAGAACAAATGTATGTGCAATGTGTGTGTGTGAGTGCAGAAATGCATGGTAGTGCAGTGTTAGCTATGCAGAAGTGGTGTCTAGTGGTGGCAGGTGGGGTTTTATGCAAAGCTGCGGTGTTAGCAAGCAGAGTCTTGATTAATGGTGCAAATGGGGCAAGCAGTTTTATGCGACAGTGCAGTGGCAGCAAGCAGGGCCCTGCCAAAAGTGTGAATTAGGCCAATTTGGCTCAATGTACAGTACTGTGCAAAAGTTTTAGGCAGGTGTGAAAAAATTCTGTAAGAATGCTTTCAATGTAAACAATGTGGTTCTAAACTGACTTAAAGACTTATCTGGCCGGGTTTTTATGTACGATATGCATTTATGTATATTTGTATTTTTGAGGCAACATGAAAACACACACACACACTTATATTTATTTTATTTATTAGTAGCAGGACATAAAACTAGATTTTCAACTAAAAGGCAGCAGCAGAGAGGTAGATTTAAAAGGAGAACTATGGGGTTAGGGCTTTTCCCCATAGTTCTACTAGGGGTAACGGGAGGACACAAAGCAGCGTCCTCCCGTCACCCAAAGCTCGCGGTATACTGAGACGCCACAGCTGAAACGGATCCCGACAATTATGTCTGGATCCACCCAGCTGCATGAGTGACAGCTGGCTCTGCCTATCTAGAGGCAGAGCCAGCTGTACCCGCCCCCTCCCCCGTCCGTTCTGCGAGTCAGCTCTGGAGGATCGGAGCGGGGAGGGGGGAATCCAGTCCCTCCCCTGTCACGGCAGAGAGCCGCGACAGGATCGAGAAGTGAGCAAACGCCGGTATGTGTTCGCTCACTTCCCGATCTACTGAGCCGACCTGTGACAGTTTCAGTCACAGTCACAGGTCGGCTAGAACTATGAGCATGAGTGAAAATAACTCACCTCATAGTTCTCCTTTAAATATTACCAGCTTCACTGATTCCTAGATGCCAAGACCAAAACAAACTTTGCCTACCTAATAATTTTACATTGCTTTAAAGGTTTTTTTTAAAAATGGTTTTGTTATAGGCTGAAAAATGGAAAAAAAAAAAGTTTTTTTAGTGACTATATTGAACTCTAAAAGCTGCAGCCTTCCTTTGTAAACAAAGCTATGTATGATTTCACCATGATTGGCCATCATAGCGATTAGATGACTGGAAACAAATTAGATCGATTCTAGACTGTAAGGGCAAAACCAGCGCTAGTTAGTGGCAGTGCCGTCTTGGAGCACAACAATGCAACGTAGACTAATGTTCCCTCAGCTTGGGGCATTGTCCTGAGGCATGTTAATCTACAGATTGTAGGTAGGAATTGGTAAACTGAAATGTATAGTTTATAAGCATTATCAAATACCATGTATATAAATAACTATCAATGTTTACAGAAACTTGGTAATAAAATGTACCTGAAGTCCAGGGATAAATCTGGTATCTTTTTCTACCACCAGAAGCTCTTCAACTCCACTATTCAGAATTGATCTTGTAATTCCACCCGGTCCGGGGCCAACCTCACAGACATAAGCTCCTTTCAAATTCCCTGCCTTCCTGACAATTTTATCTGAAAAGTACACATTAACAAATATGATTTTCTGGTTTAAAAAAATTTATATTGGTGGTTGATCTGGAAGATGAAATTTACCTACAACACAGTCATCAATGGGTGTAGTTTGTGTTAAAGCGGACCTTTACCCACATCTTTAAAATAACAACAAACACACCTTTAGTAATGATAATCTACAAACACATACTTCTAGATACAGTAACTGCCGGCTTCGTATTCTTTGCCTACCTGGTTTCTATTTTCTTTCCCAGTCTTCTGACAATGGCCATGTTTATTAAAGTGATATTAAAGTCAAAAAAAATTCCCCCTGCCCCCATGTAAATGTTAGCACTTACCTTAAATGATGTCTCTTATTCTGATCTGACTCTTCTATCCCCATGTTTTCATGTGTCCCTCCAGCGGTGCGGCGGCTCTCCGATCCAGCGCGGACTGCTCTGTCTCTCCGATACAGCGGTGTCTGCATGCGGGTGCACGCGTCCATAGACTTACCTTGCGTCTCTGCTCGTCTCCCGGCCGAGAATCGGAACTGCGCATGCGCCCGCCCCAAGATCCTTTGCGGCCGTACGATCACTTCCTGATTCTCGGTGCAAGCAGCGATAACGAGGTAAATTTAAAACCAGTTGAAGCGGTTTTTTTTAAAACTCCTTGCCTATATCTGCTTGCTAGCAGTAGATATAGGCAAAAAAAAACAAACGAGGGTTTAGAACCCCTTTAAGGGCAGATCACAAGCTCTTCTATTACTTCCTGAAAATCTGGCACATGTGACTAGGACATAGGGTTGCCACCTGTCCAGGATTCACCCGGACAGTTCGGGTTTTGAATGCTGTGTTCGGGTTTCATGGCAGCAGAGACCCGGGCACAAGATGCCAGGCAGACAGGGGCAACCAAAATTAGAATAGGGGCTACTGGACCCCCACTGAAAATAGTCTCAACTGTGATATTTGCATATGAATGGGCCGCAATATTTACATATGAATAAGCCACCACTCATTCTCCCCCAAAAATGTCTGTGCATCGCTTGAGTGTTCGGGTTTCGCTTGAAGAAAAGGTGGCAACCCTACTAGGACATGTGACCATGCACATCATCTCAGGGGAGGAAAATGCCTTTCCCTGAGATCTTGTGAGATTAGAGATTAAATTTCCCAGCAATGCTCTGCTGATGACAAGGAAATCCCAGTGTGCATTGCTTTGAGAAACTAAAGTCCTTTTGCCCTTCAAAGCAGCAAGTGAATGCTCTGTAAATATTTCAAAATCACAGCATTTTACACCTGACATGTCTGTGTTATTATTAATCATCATACATAGAGGGATGCATTGGTAGAATTAGATTTTGAGTCCACTTTAACAACAAACAGCCATAATAAAGGACACACATCAAGATAGTGTTCCATTTTCACACATTCAGTTAACAACTACAATGATCATCTACATAAAACTGAAAACAACCAGAAGAGGAAAGGGTAAGAAGTTCAGGAGGTAGAGGAGTAGGGTCTCCGAGGGTTCCCATTACCAACCAGGCACACCCATGGCCAAAATGTGGCTGCAACAAAACAATCACTTATAGTGAAAGTGAAGTCATCTATGGCTCCAAAAGCGCATGATCAAATCTTGAAGGTGGGTATTTATCAATCCAAGGTTGCCAAACGTCAGAGTATTAAGCTATTCTATCCAAGATTGTAACTTTGATTTTTCCCCTGTATCATAGCATATCGAACTGTGTTTGGTTTCATCTATATTGAGGTTGGGAGTTTTCCAAGCTTTTTCGATTTTTTGGGGGGGTGAGAATTTGCATCTGAATTAGCAATAGCCTGTGGCCAACAAACAAATATGATTTTCACACAAAGAATTTGCACAACAAATTATGCCCCTGGGATGCCCACAGTAGAAATTAGTTAGTGAATACTATTTGTAGAAAAGATATTTGGGAGGTAAGTAAGAGGCCACATACAAGAATATGTTAGAGAAAATAATGACAGCATGGATTAATGAAAGACAAATGTCGTCAAACAATTGAGTGACAGCTGGCTCTGCCTATCTAGAGGCAGAGCCAGCTGTACCCGCCCCCTCCCCCGTCCGTTCTGCGAGTCAGCTCTGGAGGATCGGAGCGGGGAGGGGGGAATCCAGTCCCTCCCCTGTCACGGCAGAGAGCCGCGACAGGATCGAGAAGTGAGCAAACGCCGGTATGTGTTCGCTCACTTCCCGATCTACTGAGCCGACCTGTGACAGTTTCAGTCACAGTCACAGGTCGGCTAGAACTATGAGCATGAGTGAAAATAACTCACCTCATAGTTCTCCTTTAAATATTACCAGCTTCACTGATTCCTAGATGCCAAGACCAAAACAAACTTTGCCTACCTAATAATTTTACATTGCTTTAAAGGTTTTTTTTTAAAATGGTTTTGTTATAGGCTGAAAAATGGAAAAAAAAAAAGTTTTTTTAGTGACTATATTGAACTCTAAAAGCTGCAGCCTTCCTTTGTAAACAAAGCTATGTATGATTTCACCATGATTGGCCATCATAGCGATTAGATGACTGGAAACAAATTAGATCGATTCTAGACTGTAAGGGCAAAACCAGCGCTAGTTAGTGGCAGTGCCGTCTTGGAGCACAACAATGCAACGTAGACTAATGTTCCCTCAGCTTGGGGCATTGTCCTGAGGCATGTTAATCTACAGATTGTAGGTAGGAATTGGTAAACTGAAATGTATAGTTTATAAGCATTATCAAATACCATGTATATAAATAACTATCAATGTTTACAGAAACTTGGTAATAAAATGTACCTGAAGTCCAGGGATAAATCTGGTATCTTTTTCTACCACCAGAAGCTCTTCAACTCCACTATTCAGAATTGATCTTGTAATTCCACCCGGTCCGGGGCCAACCTCACAGACATAAGCTCCTTTCAAATTCCCTGCCTTCCTGACAATTTTATCTGAAAAGTACACATTAACAAATATGATTTTCTGGTTTAAAAAAATTTATATTGGTGGTTGATCTGGAAGATGAAATTTACCTACAACACAGTCATCAATGGGTGTAGTTTGTGTTAAAGCGGACCTTTACCCACATCTTTAAAATAACAACAAACACACCTTTAGTAATGATAATCTACAAACACATACTTCTAGATACAGTAACTGCCGGCTTCGTATTCTTTGCCTACCTGGTTTCTATTTTCTTTCCCAGTCTTCTGACAATGGCCATGTTTATTAAAGTGATATTAAAGTCAAAAAAAATTCCCCCTGCCCCCATGTAAATGTTAGCACTTACCTTAAATGATGTCTCTTATTCTGATCTGACTCTTCTATCCCCATGTTTTCATGTGTCCCTCCAGCGGTGCGGCGGCTCTCCGATCCAGCGCGGACTGCTCTGTCTCTCCGATACAGCGGTGTCTGCATGCGGGTGCACGCGTCCATAGACTTACCTTGCGTCTCTGCTCGTCTCCCGGCCGAGAATCGGAACTGCGCATGCGCCCGCCCCAAGATCCTTTGCGGCCGTACGATCACTTCCTGATTCTCGGTGCAAGCAGCGATAACGAGGTAAATTTAAAACCAGTTGAAGCGGTTTTTTTTAAAACTCCTTGCCTATATCTGCTTGCTAGCAGTAGATATAGGCAAAAAAAAACAAACGAGGGTTTAGAACCCCTTTAAGGGCAGATCACAAGCTCTTCTATTACTTCCTGAAAATCTGGCACATGTGACTAGGACATAGGGTTGCCACCTGTCCAGGATTCACCCGGACAGTTCGGGTTTTGAATGCTGTGTTCGGGTTTCATGGCAGCAGAGACCCGGGCACAAGATGCCAGGCAGACAGGGGCAACCAAAATTAGAATAGGGGCTACTGGACCCCCACTGAAAATAGTCTCAACTGTGATATTTGCATATGAATGGGCCGCAATATTTACATATGAATAAGCCACCACTCATTCTCCCCCAAAAATGTCTGTGCATCGCTTGAGTGTTCGGGTTTCGCTTGAAGAAAAGGTGGCAACCCTACTAGGACATGTGACCATGCACATCATCTCAGGGGAGGAAAATGCCTTTCCCTGAGATCTTGTGAGATTAGAGATTAAATTTCCCAGCAATGCTCTGCTGATGACAAGGAAATCCCAGTGTGCATTGCTTTGAGAAACTAAAGTCCTTTTGCCCTTCAAAGCAGCAAGTGAATGCTCTGTAAATATTTCAAAATCACAGCATTTTACACCTGACATGTCTGTGTTATTATTAATCATCATACATAGAGGGATGCATTGGTAGAATTAGATTTTGAGTCCACTTTAACAACAAACAGCCATAATAAAGGACACACATCAAGATAGTGTTCCATTTTCACACATTCAGTTAACAACTACAATGATCATCTACATAAAACTGAAAACAACCAGAAGAGGAAAGGGTAAGAAGTTCAGGAGGTAGAGGAGTAGGGTCTCCGAGGGTTCCCATTACCAACCAGGCACACCCATGGCCAAAATGTGGCTGCAACAAAACAATCACTTATAGTGAAAGTGAAGTCATCTATGGCTCCAAAAGCGCATGATCAAATCTTGAAGGTGGGTATTTATCAATCCAAGGTTGCCAAACGTCAGAGTATTAAGCTATTCTATCCAAGATTGTAACTTTGATTTTTCCCCTGTATCATAGCATATCGAACTGTGTTTGGTTTCATCTATATTGAGGTTGGGAGTTTTCCAAGCTTTTTCGATTTTTTGGGGGGGTGAGAATTTGCATCTGAATTAGCAATAGCCTGTGGCCAACAAACAAATATGATTTTCACACAAAGAATTTGCACAACAAATTATGCCCCTGGGATGCCCACAGTAGAAATTAGTTAGTGAATACTATTTGTAGAAAAGATATTTGGGAGGTAAGTAAGAGGCCACATACAAGAATATGTTAGAGAAAATAATGACAGCATGGATTAATGAAAGACAAATGTCGTCAAACAAATCAACTTTCAACATGTATAGATGGGTGGCTATAGAATATGTGCACTCTACTAAAGCACTATATCTATTTATTTACCAATACCTGATCTGTAATTCAAAGAGAGTTTCAGAATATAAATATGAGAGATGCTATTGTTGCCCTTTTTTAAAGGTTTTAGGGCTATCAGCCTGGTTGATCAGTGCATTGGACCCAGCAAGTCACAGATCTGCAAAAAGTATGCAGAATAGAAGCTCTGACATTTTAGACTTCACTGGTTGTATGCCTATTTCAGCTCTGTGAAACATACAGCTCTTGATCTTGTGTTAGCCATGACAGCTAATATATATTCACACTGGTTCAGTTTAAGATGGGACATGCACTCAGGCGCATTGGCATGCAGTGTAAAACGCACTTTTATTTGCAGTGCCCGGGAGCCCCAGCTGCTGCATTTCCCCGTCCATAGGGTTAAGTGCTTGCTTCGTTTAGGGAGCTAAAATAAAGTTATACTCATCCGAAAAACAATCCTTGCTTGTTCTTACTGGTCCTTTGAGTCTTGCTCCCATATTGCTCCAGCAGTTCAAGATCTTTTGAGTGTTCAGGTTCTATACACTGCATAGCAGGGGTCTCAAACCCCGGCCCCCCAGCTGTGGTGGAACTACAAATCCCATGAGTCATTGCAAGATTCTCACAGCCACGACTCGCGAAGAGAGATGCATCATGGGATTTGTTGTTTCACCACAGCAGGAGGGCCGGAGGTTTGAGACCCCTGCTGTATGGGATGCGAGACTGCAGAGGGATACCATCACTGTAGCAGAGAGGAGACAGGGTGGGGGAAGTGGTATAGGAGCCAGGCGGGATCACGGTTTGGGTGAGTATAACTGGGGTTTTTTTTAGCTCCCTAGACAAAAAATAGGCACTTAACCCTTGCAGTGCACGGGTAGCCCTACTGTAAGGGTAAAGATTTGATTTGCCACAGAGTTCGGCTTTTACTTGACAGTGACTAAAGGACTAATTTCATGGAAAAAGGCAATGTACAATTACACTTATCAAGTCATACTGCTATCACAAAAGGGTTAAACATATAATTAGCAATTTGATGAATGGTGGGGGGGGACCAGGAAAGGCAAATTATAATGCAGAATAAACTTCAGTGTATTACAGAAAACTCTGAAATATATATATATCTATATAGATATATAGATATATCTATATAGATATATCTATATAGATATATCTATATATCTATATAGATATATATATATTTCTATAGATATATAACATCATTACACCATACCTGTAAGTTTCAAGTCCAGCAAAAAGTTCTGGGAGAGTTGCTTTTGTGCTTTTAAACTGTAAAGCTTTATAATTTCCTTGATGGTTGGCAAGGGTGGTAACCGATACAGGCTCATCTTTCTTTCATTTATGTTATACACCTGAATAAGAGTCCAAAACAGAAATTTTCAATAAACAGGGCCATTTCAAAATATACTTTCATCCTCATTGAGGATGCTAAAACCGGAGTGTAGTGACACAGAGAGGTAGGCCCCAGTCAACACCAGAGCAGCTATTAGAAAACTTACCTACTGTGCCATCTGCTGGCATAACAAAGACCAGCAACTGAAAAAACAATTCCAGATACCTGGATGGGATTCCAATCATTGGGCAATGTAAACCACAGGGGATGAGGATTTCCAATATAGAAGCTGATTTACTACAATCATACAATAAATTGTGTGAATATTTACTTCAATTATCCAACCAAGTAAAGACAAATTCCTCTTTACTTATTTCATATGCACATGATTGGCTAAGTGAACAGGCATTTGCTTTATACATTATTGGTAAGTTGAAGCTAGGGCTGCAACCAATTAATCGATAATAATCAATAATGAGAATAGTTGTAAACTATTATCGATTAGTTGGTTGGATCCCCTAGCTCTCTCCTCCACGCTGGGAGGAGGGCACAGCAAGCAGTGGGCAGTTTCGGTAGCCAGCCTGCTAGTGGCTTTTGCAATTTGAAATGGCCAAAAGAAGGCAGGCTATTGTACCAGCCCACTACCTGCTGTATTTACAGTCAGCTGCCATCTGCGGAATCTTGCCACTGGCAACGGTCATTCCCTGGCTGAAGCTATTCAAGCGTCATGTGCTTACAATTATTTTTATTTTTTTTAATTATTTAAAAAAAAAACCCCTGCAGCTGTCTTTTTACCAAGATAATGCCTCCAGCTGTCTTTTTACTAAGCCACTGACCCAGGACAGGTATGCCTGCAGCTGTCTTTTTACCAAGATAATGCCTCCAGCTGTCTTTTTACTAAGCCACTGACCCAGGACAGGTATACAGATCATCAAACTCAGAATTAAAGTAGTATTAAACAGGTGTCCCAAGGCTGGGTGTCACCCGGGGGCGGAGACAGGCTGACACCCCCGCAGTGACGTCATTGCGCATGCGCGTGACGTGCCGCACGTGAACGATGACGTTGTCGCATGTGCACAGTCGCCTTATGGAATCCTGCCGCCGGACATCTTGGTGATGGATGCCGGCAGAGAGTGGGAGGGGGCGTTCACCTGGCGGCATGAGGTATGCCGCCAGGTCCCCTCCTCTCTCCTGACACTGTCGGGCTCTCGGTCCATGACCGAGTGCCCGACTTTTCCTAGGGGGCGACACCAAAATGACTGTTAGTCATTTTGGTGCCACCCCTCCAATGGTGTCACCCGGGTGCGGGCCGCACCCCCCTTGTGACGCCACTGGTATTACATTTTCCTGTTTTTTAAACCGTACTATATTCCTGTCCACGTATGAACCATTCTACAACAAAGTATTTTGCCTAAATATGTGCAGAAGTGCTTTCCAGTCTTCACAGCTGCTTCCCCAATCTTACTAACTTGCTAAGAAGCACTTCACACAAAGTGACATACCGTATATACTCGAGTATAAGCCGTCCCGAATATAAGCCGAGGTACCTAATTTTAGCCAAAAAAACTGGGAAAAAGTATTGACCCGAATATAAGCCGAGGGTGGGAAATGAGGCAGCTACTGGTAGATAGATACCATTAAAATACATTAATATTTATTTAAAAGAAAAATAACCTAGCTCTGTAAGTGGAAAAGGGGGTACAGGGCTACATATCATGTACTACGGATCATTTAACCCATTCATATTAGCAGAGGATAATTGTAAATCTATTGTTCAGTGCACTCTATATGTAGTATATAGTACATGTACATATAGAGTGCCTGCAACAATACATTTACAATGATCCTCTGCTAACATGAATGGGTTAAATGATCCATAGTACAGGGCTACATACAGATCATTTAATACATTCATGTTAGTATAATTGTAAATGTATTGTCTGCACTGTATTAGCAGTATATACTCTATATAGAGTATATACTGCTAATACAGTGCAGACAATACATTTACAATTATACTAACATGAATGTATTAAATGATCTGTATGTAGCCCTGTACTATGGATCATTTAACCCATTCATGTTAGCAGAGGATCATTGTAAATGTATTGTTGCAGGCACTCTATATGTACATGTACTATATACTACATATAGAGTGCACTGAACAATAGATTTACAATTATCCTCTGCTAATATGAATGGGTTAAATGATCCGTAGTACATGATATGTAGCCCTGTACCCCCTTTTCCACTTACAGAGCTAGGTTATTTTTCTTTTAAATAAATATTAATGTATTTTAATGGTATCTATCTACCAGTAGCTGCCTCATTTCCCACCCTCGGCTTATATTCGGGTCAATACTTTTTCCCAGTTTTTTTGGCTAAAATTAGGTACCTCGGCTTATATTCGGGACGGCTTATACTCGAGTATATACGGTAATCAGTTTTTTTCGGGACCACATGTCCCATTATCCGCGCCTCGGGAGCTGCTGTCAATCTATTCCATTGGTGGAGTAGAAGGGGCGTAGCTTGCCCTCCTAGGTTTTAGGACTGCCTGTGCGCGTCGGAGCCGTGTCCAGCTGTAGTTCCTGGCTAGGAGCGTGCACGAAAGGGAGGCTACTTTGTGGCATAGCTACACGAACACAGGAAATGCTGCATAATGTTGAATAAGCAGAAGAAAGGCAAGTGATAGGCTTGAAAAGAAAGGGAACCATCCCACACAGTTAGTGCTGAGGGCAGCTTTATACTTGAGTTTAAAGTATTATTAAAGTCAAAAGGTTTTTAAGCCATTTCAAAAGCTGATGAAATCACTTACAATAGATGCTGCTTCATGATGTTTAAGTTTTAGTTTCCTGCAGAATCAGCTGATCAGCACTGGTATTCTGATATTCTGTTTCAGAGTGGCTCCTTTCCCTTGCAGGGTCCAATGGAGCCCTTGTGTGCGTCTCCACAAACATACAGAAAGGCAAGACACTCCCCTGCTCCCCCTTCCTCCAAGCTATCAGATGGAAAGCTGCTGGAGATTGCTCTGTCCCTTGTGATCTTGTCCTGGACAGGAAGTTCGGGAATGCCGTTTGGAAACATGATGACTGTAAGTGCTTGGGAGAAAATCTAGAGAAATACTTTGCTGTGCAATGTATATTTGTGTCATCTGGATTTATTATTTAAAAAAAGGTTTGAGAGCTTAAAGTATTACTAAAGGCATGGCGTTTTTTACCCTAATGTATTTTGTGCATTAAGGTAAAAAATGCCCAGTACCTTTCTGTACCCCCACCCTCCCCACCTGGTCCCCACAGCCAGTCCCCGAAGCGATCCTCCATTCTGAACATTCTGGTTGAGGGGGAGGAGATTGAGGGCAGAGGAGCCATTGGCTCCTTCTGCCGTCAATCTACCTGTTGGGCAGAGAGGAGGGGCGTGGCCTGCCGCAGGGCTATGTGTGTCTATAAATGCACATAGCCACTTGCGGGCATGGCCTGGATCGAGCATGCACGGGTACCTCCACAGCAGCCACTTAGCTGATGGCGGCACTGGGGCAGGCAGGAAGGAGGGGGGGAGCTTTGCAGGGACCAACTAGAGAACGAGGAACAAACAAGCACTTAACCCTTGCAGTGCAGAGGTAGCCCCACTGCAAGGGTTAAGAATTTTACCCCCTGAGAATTTCTTAAGGGGAACTTCACACGTGTCCCTAAATTATCATCCCCAATTACCACTTACCTTTGATGCTCTCTCATACAAGCCGATCGAACCCTGCATGTCCTCTTTTCCCACGCCGCGCTTCCACTGAACATAAAGTGCAGCGCCGCCATCTCGTTCCTTTCATCATCGGGAGTTGGCTGTCTCTTCCCGGTTATGACAGCCGGCCCACTGATGACACGGCACTAGATGAATGAAGAAGCCTATTTCTCCTGGGATATGTGACATCAGTATCCCAGGAGGCGACTTTGCATCATCATTGTCTAGGTAAGAAGGCAGGTAGGGGGCGGGTCAACCGTGACAAAAAGTAATCAAAAACTTTTTGTTTTTTAAAAGTGTGTGTGTGTGTGCGCGCGCGCTACATGCACTACTTCCCCGCGCTTGTTGTGCGTAACGAACTCATTGAAACCAATGGGGACCTACAGTTATTTTTATGCCATGGCATGCCAACAGTGAAGGTTACCAGTGTTTATTTCAGCCAGCATGGGTGACTAAAAGTCATTGAAACCAGAAGGTCAGCATGACAACAGGCTGCTAGCATTTGCAGAATGAGGAACTGTCCTTTACACCTGGCAATAAAAATGATCTCCCATACCCCCCAACCCACATGAGCTAATGAAGTTCTGCCATACCTTGCTCCCTTATAGATGTATTCTCGAGTCCAGTCCTCGTGACGTCATCTCCCGGGCGACACACGACTTCTCACTACCTTCATGTGCATGTCGTAGCCCCTAGAAGACTACATCTCCCATGAGCCCTCAGTGGCACGCAGTGGATGGGAGGGCTCGTGGACGCTGCTAAGTCTAATGGGCGGTGACAAGGGGAAGAAAGAACTTGCTCTGCAGAATTTGACTGAGAAACTACAACTCTATCAGAGCTATACAATCCACACAGCAGCCTCCGCTCAATGACTGGGCGTAGGCTGAAAAACGGCAAACAAGTATCCACATTCTAAGTGTCTGCTCCCCGTGTGCGTCCCCGCCACCATTGTGCATACTGCGCATGTGTAATCTTCGTTAGTGAGTCTCCCTGCACACTGAGATGCTGGTCACATGATACAGACCAGGGTCATGTGACCAACATCTCAGTGTTGTCTCCTCTACTGACCACCAATGCTTTTTTCCTTTATTGACTACTAAAGCTAGGCCATTCTTTCTTCCACCAATACTAGGGTATTTATTCCTCTACTGACCACCAATTCTAGGGTATTTATTCCTCTACTGACTACCAATACTGGGGGTATTTATTAGTCTACTGACCTGTAATACTGGGGGTATTTATTAGTTTACTGACCTGTAATACTGGGGTTTTTTTTCCCTACTGACTACCAATTTGTATTTATTCCTCTACTGACCACCAATACTGGGGGTATTTATTAGTCTACTGACCTGTAATACTGGGGGTATTTATTAGTCTACTGACCTGTAATACTGGGGTATTTATTCCTCTACTGACCACCAATTCTAGGGTATTTATTCCTCTACTGACTACCAATACTGGGGGTATTTATTAGTCTACTGACCTGTAATACTGGGGGTATTTATTAGTCTACTGACCTGTAATACTGGGGGTATTTATTAGTCTACTGACCTGTAATACTGGGGCATTTATTCCTCTACTGACCACCAATGCTGGGGTATTTTTTCTTCTACTGACCACTAAAGCAAGTCCAGTCTTTCTTCCACCAAACACTGGGTTATTTATTTCCTCTTCTGACCACCAGTGCTGGGATATTTTTTCCTCCTACTGACCACCAAAACTAGGACATTCTTCCCTTCACCAACCACAAATACTGGGGTATTTTTCCCTCTACTGACCACCAAAGCTAGCCCATTCTTTCTCCCATTGACCACCAATGATTAGATATTTTATCTCCCTCCACACCAGCAATGTGAGGGCAGAATTGACCCAGGGAGGGTACATGCTCTGGCGAAAAAGGGGGACTTTTAAGGTAATGGCTATTTGATTAAAGGGCATGGTTTCCCAGGAGACTCACCCAAGCACTGTATTCCCTATGCAATGATTTTCTTATGCGGCCATTTCTTGCAATACCCCAAATCACTATAAGTGTAGCTCTTGTCACATTCTTTACAGGAAAAAAGAGAGAGAGAAGAGGTGACCACTGTCCACACATCATGAATCAGATAATACAAGGCCTGAAAAATTGTATGTTTAATTTTAGTAGTTATCTGTAGTCTAAAAATGGTCTATCTTGCATACATTCATTATTAAAATGCTACTCACTCACTATCAGCATTACAAATTAGACTTTTCATGCAATTCAATATTATGAGGACCTTGCGTCAATGAAAAAGTGTTGTCAGTCCACTATAAAATCTTGTGAGCTGCCATGATGCGGAGAACAAGGTTTGCAGTGGAGCATGTGTAAAATGGCCAGGGATTTTATTTCCTTGCCCACCCTCCACACAGTACACTTTAATGCACCTGTTTTACCACAATGGGCTGATGTGAATGGGCCCTTAGATGTTAATAATGTGTAAGCTGCTTCATGGAAGCTGTAGAAACACCTTCACTCACCCCAGAGACCTGTAACACCCAGGAATGCGTGTTATAAAGGGGATACCAGGTTTGACAGCCTTTCCCTCCCTCATTCCAGTGCCCCCTTCCAACTAAACTAATCCAATGATCTCCCCCCACTTCAAGAGTAAATTCAGAACCCTCCTCATCCATCCTAGAGACCACCCAGTGATGACATATATACTATGGTTGAGATGCCAGAAGGTTTTACTGTTTCCAACTCTAAAGTGTTCCCTTGTCATCTTGGTCTACATGTTTTCGGCGCTCTGTCTGTCTGTGCACGAAATAGTGGGGAGTCATATTACTATAACACTTGATACTTTTGGCCAGTTCACTAGGAATACTTATAGCGTTCAAGGCTCATCATTTTATGTTGTTTGTTAGGGGACACTGTATTTATAAAGAATTGCCTGTACATTTGTTCTGTGAGAATAGAGGCAGAAACAAATGTTATTAGCGTATTTTCTTTCCAGGTCGAATGTAGTATCAGGTTAATATCTGATTGCCACATTATGGCCAGTAGATGAAGATGTGGAGCATGGGGAATAAATACTTCTTTTCTATACTCCTCAGCTCCATGATGCAATATTTATATAGATAGGCAAGCCTTATGATCTTTTCCCGCACAGAGTGTCTTTATGTTTCTGTCTATATCTCCCTATCTAAGCTCTCTTTTATTGTGCCACTGTTTTCTCTCTTATCTCTCCCTCTCTCTCTATGTGCTGGTGTCTCACTATCTCTTTTTCTTTGTCTGTCTGTCTACAGCAGTGGTTCTCAACCTGTGTTGGACCCACATTTGTCCATGGTCATTACGTCGTGATCCAAGTTGCTCTGCACTGGAACACACAGCATTGCGGTACTGTGCGTTACAGTGTGGGCGATCGAACTGTGGGTGGGAGATGCCTTTGGTGTGCCATTCAAATTAATGGTAATGCAACACACCTCCCAAACCAGAATGCGCACAGGAACAGGCCCTCATAAACACTGACATACAGGTGAAACGCGAATAATTAGAATATCGTGCAAAAGTTCATTTATTTCACTAATGCAACTTAAAAGGTGAAACTAATATATGAGATAGACTCATTACATGCAAAGCAACATAGTTCAAGCCGTGATTTGTCATAATTGTGATGATTATGGCTTACAGCTCATGAAAACCCCAAATCCACAATCTCAGAAAATGAGAATATTGTGAAAAGGTGCAATATTCTAGGCTCAAAGTGTCCCACTCTAATCAGCTAATTAAGCCATAAGACCTGCAAAGGGTTCCTGAGCCTTTAAATGGTCTCTCAGTCTGGTTCAGTAGGAATCACAATCATGGGAAAGACTGCTGACCTGACAGTTGTGCAGAAAACCATCATTGACACCCTCCATAAGGAGGGAAAGCCTCAAAAGGTAATTGCAAAAGAAGTTGGATGTTCCCAAAGTGCTGTATCAAAGCACATTAA